GGACACACCGCAAGCTTTAACTGTAGCAGATATGATTAGCCAATGTATTAGGATAGCAACGTTAAAGTGACACCCAACTACCTTAAAGTGTTATTAAACCCTCCCGTGTTTTGCCCATATATAAGGCAGGCAAGCAGTAGATATAAGCAAAAAGTGTAAAAAAACCCCAAAAAAAACCCGCTTTGAAAAGGGTTAATACTCACCTGTGTCTTCCCCGCGCGCTCCCATCTGAAAATTTTTACATTCTCGGGCGGCCGCAAAGCATCTTGGGGCGCGCGCATGCGCAGTTCACATTTTCGGCCGGGACGCGAGGAGAGACGCAAGGTAAGTCTATGGACGCGTGCACCCGCATGCAGACATCACGGGACAGGAAGTGCCAGCAAGCACAGAGGAGTCAGCACTGGAGGGACAGATGAAAAGGACAAGAAAGAAGATCAGATTAAGAAACATCATTTAAGGTAAGTCCTTACACTAACATTGGGGGGAGGGAAAACATTTTTTGACTTTAATGTCACTTTAACGATTAACAAAAATGTATATTTTTTTGTGTATCACTCGGCTGTAGATCCTCAAATCATCTCTGAATTGGTGCTGACACTGTCCTTCCTTCTGGAGGGGGGCTACTTGTGTTCCCCATTGTCCCTGTGTGTGATGTAAAGTAGTCACCGCTCCAAGCTCACTTCTGTGATGGACTACAATCTCACGTTTAGTTTACTAATTTGTACTGAGATTGTAGTCCATCACGGTAGTGAGCTTGGAGCCGAGTGATACACAAATAAGAAACATTTTTATTAATAGTGAAGGTACTTGAATGTATTTTTAAGATTTAAAGGAGAACTATGGGGTAAGTGTTTTCCCCATAGTTTTCCTAAGGATCACGGGAGGACATATACTAGCGTCCTTCCGTGACCAAAGGCTCAGTATATAGGGAGCGACAGCTCGCAGTATACTGAGACCGCTGCAGCCGGGACGGATCCCGACAATGCTGTCGAGATCCACCCAGCTGCATGAGTGACAGCTGGATCTGCCTATCTAGAGGCAAAGCCAGCAGTACCCGCCCCCTCCCCCGTCCCTTCCGCCAGTCAGCGCTGGGGGGGGGGGTATCCCTGCAGGGAGCCGTGACTGTAAGTCACGGCTCTCTGCAGTGAGATGATCGAGAAGTGAGCGAGCGACGGTATGTGTTCGCTCACTTCCCGATCGATGCGGTCGACAGGTGACAGTCTCATTGTCACACGTCGGCTCGAACTATGAGGATGAGTGAAAATCACTCACCTCATAGTTCTCCTTTTAACTCCGGAGTTTAGTGTCACTTTAATCATTAGGAGGGCGTCTAGTTGGCAAGGGCGGCGGTGCGAGTTTAAGTTTGGGCCTAGCATGGCCTCTCATTCTTCATGCTGAAATGTATCTCTAGTCGCAACATTTAAGTTTTGGACGGAGTGGAGAAGGATTAAAACTCTAGTCTTAGATGGCTCCGCTGCTTCCTGTCTGGTAAAATGATTGTTCCCAGGACAGGAAGTGAAGGGAAGTCTCTCTAACAGCAACAAACAGAAGTACAAAATACTTTTTAGGTTAAAAAAAAAAATCCCGGAACGTCTTACCGGCTTTGTTTCATGAAAAGATTCTCGGCCGCTCCCTTTGTGCCGGGTCACCTGCTAGGATGGTCAGATGCCAAACCCAGGCAGGGGGTCATCCTCATCCCACAGTGTCTGTGATTCTAGAGAGGAGCTGGCGGCACACCATAGAATCCTTCATATGTAACTTTATTATAACGGACATCATTGTCCCTTGCTTCCTGTCTGGTACAACAATGTCCCTGGAACAAAGTTTGGAGGAATCTCTAGCAGAGCCGCAGATAACGGTAAAGCCTGGCAGGTTAGAACCTCTTTCTTATTCTATCCAAAAAGGTTAAAAAACAAAGTACACGCATTGTCATTATTGCATACGTGTAACACTTCCAGGTATTTATTACCTCGCGCCAAGATCACATGACTCCCTCTGACAATGACTTCATCTGCTTTTCTCCCTAGAAAGCCAGAGCCATCTTTTTTTTAGGCATCATTCAGGGTCAACATCTGCTTCTTGGACTCCGATGCCGGCTCAGAGATCACACAATCGTGTAAATCCTGGTGCCTGTTCAGCTCCCAGCGATGTTCACAAATGTTGGACACAGATCAGCCTCTCTCCTTGTAACTACAAAGATAGTGTTGCAGACTGATCACTGGGGGCGGGGAGACTGAGGAAACGCTTCCTCCTGCCTGCAGCAGACTGATCACTGGGGTAGTGGAGACTGAGGAAATGCTCCTCCTGCTTGCAACAGACTGATCACTGGGGGAGTGGAGACTGAGGAAATGCTTCCTCCTGCCTGCAGCAGCCGTATCACTGGGGTAGTGGAGACTGAGGAAATGCTCCTCCTGCTTGCAACAGACTGATCACTGGGGAAGGAGACTGAGGAAATGCTCCTCCTGCTTGCAACAGACTGATCACTGGGGAAGGAGACTGAGGAAATGCTCCTCCTGCTTGCAACAGACTGATCACTGGGGAAGGAGACTGAGGAAATGCTCCTCCTGCTTGCAACAGACTGATCACTGGGGAAGGAGACTGAGGAAATGCTCCTCCTGCTTGCAACAGACTGATCACTGGGGAAGGAGACTGAGGAAATGCTCCTCCTGCTTGCAACAGACTGATCACTGGGGAAGGAGACTGAGGAAATGCTCCTCCTGCTTGCAACAGACTGATCACTGGGGAAGGAGACTGAGGAAATGCTCCTCCTGCTTGCAACAGACTGATCACTGGGGAAGGAGACTGAGGAAATGCTCCTCCTGCTTGCAACAGACTGATCACTGGGGAAGGAGACTGAGGAAATGCTCCTCCTGCTTGCAACAGACTGATCACTGGGGAAGGAGACTGAGGAAATGCTCCTCCTGCTTGCAACAGACTGATCACTGGGGAAGGAGACTGAGGAAATGCTCCTCCTGCTTGCAACAGACTGATCACTGGGGAAGGAGACTGAGGAAATGCTCCTCCTGCTTGCAACAGACTGATCACTGGGGAAGGAGACTGAGGAAATGCTCCTCCTGCTTGCAACAGACTGATCACTGGGGAAGGAGACTGAGGAAATGCTCCTCCTGCTTGCAACAGACTGATCACTGGGGAAGGAGACTGAGGAAATGCTCCTCCTGCTTGCAACAGACTGATCACTGGGGAAGGAGACTGAGGAAATGCTCCTCCTGCTTGCAACAGACTGATCACTGGGGAAGGAGACTGAGGAAATGCTCCTCCTGCTTGCAACAGACTGATCACTGGGGAAGGAGACTGAGGAAATGCTCCTCCTGCTTGCAACAGACTGATCACTGGGGAAGGAGACTGAGGAAATGCTCCTCCTGCTTGCAACAGACTGATCACTGGGGAAGGAGACTGAGGAAATGCTCCTCCTGCTTGCAACAGACTGATCACTGGGGAAGGAGACTGAGGAAATGCTCCTCCTGCTTGCAACAGACTGATCACTGGGGAAGGAGACTGAGGAAATGCTCCTCCTGCTTGCAACAGACTGATCACTGGGGAAGGAGACTGAGGAAATGCTCCTCCTGCTTGCAACAGACTGATCACTGGGGAAGGAGACTGAGGAAATGCTCCTCCTGCTTGCAACAGACTGATCACTGGGGAAGGAGACTGAGGAAATGCTCCTCCTGCTTGCAACAGACTGATCACTGGGGAAGGAGACTGAGGAAATGCTCCTCCTGCTTGCAACAGACTGATCACTGGGGAAGGAGACTGAGGAAATGCTCCTCCTGCTTGCAACAGACTGATCACTGGGGAAGGAGACTGAGGAAATGCTCCTCCTGCTTGCAACAGACTGATCACTGGGGGAGAGGAGACTGAGGAAATGCTTCCTCCTGCCTGCAGCAGAATAATGATCTCGGCCTAGGCAAAGTCCCTGGAGCTCTGGGTTGGCTTTTTATTATAAAAGTTGTTATTTTCCTGGAACAATATCCATTTTGCTGTATAAAGTGACCTGTCGGGTTTGTCTTTCTTATGCACATAAAATGACCGTTCCACTTTAATTCCCTTTCTTTAGGGGGTGGAGGGTGATGGCGGTTTCTCCCACGCTGTGTTACACTTTGTGATGCGTTCAGCGTTTGCGCTGTGTCTCGTAATAGAATTCTAATTGGATGGCACGAGGAGCCTTTTATAAATAGCTGAATGTCAGAGTCGTGAGCCGTCCGCATTGTGACCCGGGGGCTATTGAGGTGCAGCGAGGAGGGACGCCGGAGCCTCTGATGAGTGTAATGAAACGGACTGCAGTATGATACCCACAGAGGCCTCCCACTGATGTTGTCATCACTGGAGCATTATTACTGATCTAGATCTGTCACTTCTGTGTGGTGCATTCCAGGGGAAGAAGACCTGTCACTCATTGCCCCGTGATGGAACTTCCGTCTGCTGGTGCATTCAGGGGGAGCGTAGCTGTGCTGCATTGCAGCCAATTATCTTGCTTCATCTTAAAGGAAAAGTGTTGGTAGCTGTAGGAGATATTTCCTGCGTAGCAAGTGCAGGTTTTACCTTCCAGCATGCCTGGAGGAAACACAAGCCAGCACAGAGATCCTGCAAACTCCGTGCAGATGGTGTCCTGGTTGGGATTCAAACTGGGGTCCCCAGTGCTGCAAGGCAGAAGTGCTAACTAAGTGCTAGAGGTCAGAACCTCTATCTGGATTTTACTGCTGTGTCCCTGCTAGGGGAGATTTACCGCTCTTTATCCTGGTGACCATTGTCACCAGAACAGGAAGTGATGGTCAATTTTTCAATGTTCTGCTTTTCACAGGAACAGAGGAAGGATCTTCAAATGGGGTCACCTGTTCAAGGACGGGTATATTAAGGGGCATTTCCTCTTACTTCCTGTTTTGTATCTGGAACTGGAAGTAAAGGGAAATCTCCCCACAGACAGCACACCTATAAACTGTTGGATTCCAATTGACATTTCTGTTGTCTTCTTCTTTCTACAGATCATTCCCAGCAAAACACTCGACCCTACAAGTCACGATGAGGAACGCTTGCCAGGCATTGGTCTCTTGCCTGTTACTGGTGAGTAAACTAGTTCCTGGTTACTTCACCCTAGCCGGGTGTTTTTGCATGGCTCGCCTCAGGAGCAAACACTCCTGCCAGTGTTATGGCCGTCTGTGGCCGACTGGGACTCCTCTTGCTAGAAGTAGCCAAGGCTGTGATTACAAAGGATGCACCGATACCGAGTATTTGGGCCAATACTCGGATACCGGCACTTCTGGTCAGAGGAAGATTTCCTCTGACTGGCAGTGTCATAGGGGAACATGAAGCTGGCTTCCCGGCCAACCAGGAAGCCGGGTCATTATTTGCCACCCGGCTTCCTGGTTGGCCGGGAAGCCGACTCAGTGCTGATTGGCTGGGAAGCTGGTTTCTGCGCCAAATCACAACCAAGCCAGCCAACTCCATGCCAGCGGAAGCACCGGTATTGGTACTCATCAGTGAGTACCGAAAGCAAAATATCGGTATTTGATACCGAAAAACCAGTATCCGTGCATCCCTAGTGATTACAATATTATTAAGGCGTTGGCCACACCATATACTGAGGAATCTGTGTCCGGTTTGGCCATTCACGCTTGTCAAATTTCAAGGAGTCTTTATCCTCACAGCTCAGATAGTGGTATGGTGATGGTATGCGATGACCTTACCATTTGAGGTGCCTCATGGCTGACGGTTGTAGATGTTTCCATGTGCACGCTGCGGATTAGACCAAAAATGTTATTTTTTTTTTTCCTGCTTATTTTCACACTTTTTTTTTTCCTGGGAGGTTGGTTCTACTTTTTAAAGTTAACATATTCAAGTATTTTTATATATTGTGAACAAGCTTTAAAAGCAATGGTGTCAACAACACCCACAATGGCGTTAACCTCTGTAGCTGCAGACATTGTGGATAAATTCATCTTCACGCCTCATTCACATGGGCATGCACATCTGTAAACCATGCAGGTCCATGAAGAGACCTGTTTCCAGGAGGGACACAGACAGTCTGCGTCCAAGTGCATGCACCTGGTCCTACATGGATGTGCAGGTTCAGCTGTGACAGTCTCATTGTCACAGGTTGGCTAGAACTATGAGGTGAGTGAAAAGCACTCACCTCATAGTTCTCCTTTTAATATAATCCACACCCTCTGTGATACTATCCAATTTGATTTAACCTTTATACATGACTCATTTATTCCTTCATTATATCTCCACCTACAAATTCTATGTACTAAACCCGGTGACCCTTACCCCCTAGACCAATGTACTCCTTATAAATTTGTGTATTTAATCACCCTCATTCTCCACTCCCCTATACCCACTATCCTCGTTCTTCTCGTGCTTAGAATATGTCGATATTTCAATGTCCATAATCTGGGGATGATTTTTCGAATTTATATTTTGCAGGACTGTTGGTGAATCTCACTCAGTGATCGTTCTCCGTGCAGCATTAAATGTATTCGGGTCAAGGACTCTGGGAATGTCCTCTGGACCCGTGCCATGCGAGTGTTTAGTAAATAGGTAGCTGGGACTCTAGCTGGTCTCTGCGGATCTCTCCCCATCACTGTGATGTGTAAACATTTAGTTACTGGGCTTTTAAAATGACGCACTTGTGAAAGTTCACGTACAAGAAAGGGAGCGGTATCATATAATTCTCCTACTGCAAATGTGAGCGCAGTGCACGCGTCGTAATTCTGAATCTTTCCTCAAAGTAATATCTGGTGATCCTACTTGAAAGGTTCTTCTGCTACGGGACGACAACTGTCTCTTCTGCATTGTCACACATTGTCATAAGCATCTCTTGTGCCAACACACATTGAGCAGACAGGGTTCACCGTTGTCACCATCAGGATGGCGGTCCAGAGCTATAATGTCCAGCCAACCCTGGAATGAACGCATGTAGACAGGAAGTGGCTGAAAGAGACCGGACTGCGTTGAGCATGCTAAATGTCATTCAGAAATCCGTTTTCTGGGGGTCATGGCAATACAAGGTGGCTTAGCGGTCACTTAGTCCTATAAAGCACTTGATAGTTTAGTCCTTGCACTTCTTGATTTAATAACCCTGTAGGGGAGCCCAAACTGCAGCATAAAAAGTATGCAGATAAAGGCTTTTGATTTTCCTGGACTGTACATGGGTCCAGGAGAATGATGTGCGGCCAACACTGGAATCAGTACATGTAGACAGGAAGTAGCTGAGGTTGCTGGAATGAGTGCATGTAGACAGGAAGTAGCTGAGGTTGCTGGAATGAGTGCATGTAGACAGGAAGTAGCTGAGGTTGCTGGAATGAGTGCATGTAGACAGGAAGTAGCTGAGGTTGCTGGAATGAGTGCATGTAGACAGGAAGTGACTGCTGGAATGTGTGTGTCGACGGTGAGGTTGCTGGAATCGATGGGTGTAGACAGGGCTGGATTTCCCACAAGGCCAGGCCTTTACGCAGCAGGAAGTAGAGGGGCAGCAGGGATGCGGAATTCCTGTTTCTCAAAGCCCAGGATGCAGTTCCGGGCGCCGTGCGGGTAGTTGTTTTCTACATTTAGCCCTGCTGCAAAAACTTCATATGCAGCTTCCATCACTATGCACTGCAGCCTGATTCCAGAGAGCTCCTCACATGTGGGTACCAGTGGCTGCCTATTCTGTAGGGAGGTTTTTTTGTGATTGGCGGCCATGAGAAACTTTTTCGTACTGATGTTTTGATAAATCGGGCTTTCTGTATGCAAGACGTGGCACAGATTCCGCAGCCTAACAACACGTATCAGATCCCCAGATTACAGACGAAAGGGATTGAGGTGGTCCCAGTACATTACAGCAATGCCTGAATAGATGGAATTCCCTGTATCCATTCCAAGGTCCAGTTTTTAATTTTAGACTGGATTGTACTTTTTAATATTCCACTAAACTGCCATCTGATTGGCTGCTGTGGATTACGGCACAATGCACCATTTTTCCTGTATGCGTTTCATGCTCATGCATATCTGTAAGGACTTTGTCAGAGTATAAATAGAAATCAATGAGCTGGCCTAGCTGCAGCACGAGGAGATCCTAATGGATGATGTGAAGGGAGTAATGACGTCGGCGCAGCCGCCTCTGACAGACTGACGCACAGCGTGAAGGTGAATCGTGTCCTTGAGTCTGCTCTGCAGTCAGGTGCCTGTGCAGCGCTGCGATTGAGACTTCTGGTCTCCCCTCCCGTGTCCTTTCTTTAATATATCCGCACAGCACAGAGGAAACGCTGAATCTACAATGCACATTTTCCGCTGAGCTGGGCCAAAACGTGCTGGGACAGAGAGTTCTCTTGTGACACGTCCTCCTGCATACTTTTACATCTGCAATTACACAGGCGGGGGATAGATTGGCAGGTCCGTGCCGGTAAAGCTCCCGTTGGTGCTCGTTAGACTGGAGATGAGAAAGAAAATACCTGGGGGGATGGGAGTAAAAAATGAAAAACTTTTGCAAACTTTATTCCACTAGCTAAAAAAAATTGGTGTTTTTAGACTTTTTTAATTATGCGAGCCAGTGCGTTTCGGGCACTAATATGGTGTGAACCGGCCCTGATTCTGGAGCTTCAGCTTTTTAGCCATCATTCATTATTATATTTTTACAATGTTGCAATACATTTTCCTGGGTAGGCGGCCTTGGCATTCCACTTCTGGTAAAACTACGAATCTCAACATGCTGCTTCCTCTTGGAGTCATGCCTATGGCTGCCAGTCGTGCAATGCCCCATGGGACTTGTAGTCTCACTATAGGTGGAGTGCCAGGGTTGCTTACCCCTACTTTAGTAACGTGCACATAAAAAAAACTTTCAGCTTAAACATCCGCCCCCCCCCCTCCCACCACCACCATAAAACTACATAACCTTTGATTTTTGTACAGTTTAGTAAAGGGAGATATTATAAAAAATCTAATTTGTGCAATAAGAGGATAAGGAGTTACAAATGAAAATGAAGACCTGGCTCTGTTTTTCTGTGTGTACAATGTAATTATGACTAAACCAGGCCCACTGAGCCATGGCCACTTCCAGATGAGCTACGCTACAGCATAGTACACTGCCATATGCGCCCCCATCCCAGTTAGCTTGATCTTGGACCAAAAAGATGTTGATCCCCTTAGAAAGGTAATGTTCCCTTGAATTCCCTCACAACCTTCTGTCCAAGCCATTAATACAGGATGGAGAATGATGTAATCCCATTTTGTCCAGGTTGCCCAGGCAGCATATTGACCATTTGTGTGCTCAATTATTGGCTGTAGACTATTTTAAGCAGCGCTCCTTAAAGGATAACGAAACCTCAGAACAAACATGTCCTATATTGCAGCTTACCAGTCCTTAGATGGGGCGGCTGCATTCGTTTTTGTTTTAATGCTAAGAGCATTTTCAGCAAGTAAAGAAAATAATACTAATCTGTCTACTAATCTCTAAACTTCTGTAATGGAGATGAACAAAGGCAGAAATATTACTAGTCCAGCCTCAGTGACCAGCATGGCTCCCTCCTTCGATGGTGAAAGAGTGAGCACAGCCACCGTAGGACTGGAACTGAAAATAAAACTAACACAGCCACCTCATCCGTGGACTGAGATAGACTATCTAAACCCAAAAGCAAAAGTGTTATATATTGTAACTTACCGATTCCAGCTGGGCGCCGTGTAAAGACTCGCCACTCGGTTTCCTGATTGGTCAGGAAGTTGGCCAATCATAAAGCCAGGCAGCGAGTCGTTACCCGCCCCCCCCCCTGGCTTCCTGATTAGCCAGAAAACCGGCTCCATGCTTCCTCAAGGGAGCATGGAGACGGCTAATCAGGAAGCCGGGTGGCGAGTCATTACACGCCGCTCGGCATCCTTAATGGGACTTCTAGTATCAGTATTCAGTATCGGCGAGTAGTAAAAAAAAAAATCGGTACTTGATGCTGAAAAACAGTATTGGTGCATCCCTAATGTATACCTGTTGGTAAATCTCTGCTCTAATCAGGGTGCTCAATCTTCCCATCTTCTATGCAGAAGGGAGAGATGAATGGACCGGATATGCACCTCTGTCAGATGAGAAAATGGCAGGTCCCAGAACTTTAGCGATCTGTTAGAGGTCACGCAGCTATAGGGCCTTCAGTTTCTGGGAGATGCCCCGTGTTTATGGTTCATCAGGGGGCTGTCTGTTGCCCACATCCACCAATCAAATGATTCCTTTCTGATAGTCTTTAAGTCTGAGGTGAGCAACGCAGATGCTTCATATTTACAGGTCGCTGATGTGTTTACTTACACAAGGTCAGAGCTGACATGTTTCCATTTGAGTAATAAAGTCTGGGGCCTGATGAGCTGAGAGGGAGTTAAGCATCTCAGGACGGGATATTCCACTTTTTGTATTGCTCCAATGTTCTTTCACTAATTGAGTTCACCTTCTGAGCCGGAAGATTTATTGCCTCTCAAAGCGGCTTCTATAATTGAAATTGTTATGGTGTATAGAAGATGAAGCTTCTGTTATGTCTGGTTCTGGAAACTGACCTAGATCATCACTGTCGGGTTTTGCAAAACCGTATTTCTTTGTCTTCACTGGAAAGCGAACTACATCCATATGGGAAAACTTCACACCTCCTGTGAATACGTGCCAAGAGACCGCTGAAGTTAAAGGAGCACTATGAGGTGAGTGCTTTTCACTCACCTCATAGTTCTAGCCGACATGTGACCATGGACTGTCACAGGTCGGCTCAGTAGATCGAGAAGTGAGCGAACACATACCGGCGTTCGCTCACTTCTCGATCCTGTGTCGGCAGAGAGCTGTGATGGGAGGGACTGGATTCCCCCCTCTCCGCTCGGATACTCCAGCGCTGACTGGCGGAACGGACGGGGGAGGGGCAGGTACAGCTGGCTCTGCCTCTAGATAGGCAGAGCCAGCTGTCAGTCACGCAGCTGGGCGGATCCAGACATAATTGTCGGGATCCGTTTCAGCTGCGGCGTCTCAGTATACCGGGAGCTGTAGCTTGCGGTATACTGAGCTTAGGGTGACGGGAGGACGCTAGTTTGTGTCCTCCTGTTACCCTTAGGAGAACTATGGGGAAAAGCCCTAACCCCATAGTTCTCCTTTTAAACAGAAGTCTTCCTGTAAAAGTAAAGCTTGGCATCTCCCTGTTGGTCTTCTAAAGTCATCAGCGTCCTGGTTGACCAATAGGGTGGCTTAGGAGGCAGGAAGGGTGGCGTGAAATGCGTAGGTTGAGATTTGCATACAACTTCAGCTGTCTGTATTTCCAAACCTACTCCTGGTTTTAACATTGCATAATATACAGTACTTTGTAAATACTCCCCTCTGCTGCGGTGCTGAATGCTAGAAATGTGGAACTTGCGTGTCAGTGGTTCCTCCTGCTGGCCCTGTAGGTAACTACCACGTGCTATATTGGCACTGGAGGTGGGAGGAACCACTGAGCATCTTGGGGGATGAACAATATATGAAAAATATATTTCCTATCAACAGGGTTGGCGTTGCAGGCAGAAAGAAAGGGAAGTGTATACTAGGATTTGTCCAGCCCTGCTCATAGCTGTATATCTGCAGTATGAGATCTAAGGTACTGCTGCCTCTGACTGCTAGTTTGAGGTTTGGAGTGAGATTTGGTGATGTCACTACTGTGCTGATTACTTGTCGTTGCTGGAGGCTCTTGACATGAGGAAGCAAAGCCTTGCTTCTACCAAGATGGCCGCCTCCATACAGTGACACAGTGCAGAACAAGTCATGGTAATGGGGGAAAAGATCAGCTGCAGGTTGACCAAAGGTAATACAACGGACTAGTCCTTTGCCCTCCACTTCCCATGGTGCAGTTGCTCTGAACTTCACCTCCTTTTTAGCTTTTTTCATTTTGGATTGAATGGAGAAGCTCGATGTCAGGTTTATATGTTTGTCTCCCATTGGGGTGATTTTACCTCACTTCCTATCCCATTTTACACCAGGACAAAAAATGGTGGTCACCGAGACGGGCAAAGACAGCATTGCATACACTGTCAAACGTTCTATTCTTTCCAAACTATATACGGTAAATATGTTTTTGTCTATGGACCTTTTGGGAGATGTTTCCCATCACTTCCTGTCCTTAAAGGAAGCGCCCACCATATGGACATAGATGGCAATAAAAACCTGACATGGGCTCCAACCAACTCTGTGGAAAACAAATGAGTTTTGGTTGGCGTCGGTCTTTATCTTTTTGGTTTACGGCGGCATACTAGCAGTAAATGTAACGAGAATACATTTTTGTCTTCCGCAGGTTCAGGTCTGGGAAGGATTATGCCAGGAGGAAGTGGTGTGCGGCAAAACGGAGTACATGGATGACAGCGGTCAGTGTATGCCTTGCACAAAGTGTCTGCCCGGAAAGGAGCCAGATGGGGTAATAATCTTCTGCCCCATTCTCTATAGTACAATGGACTTGTCCTACCTGCATGTCACACTGCAGCTTTTCTGGAATGCTTCAGATTGCATTTATACACCTTTCATAGAAGGGACACAAGAGCCAAATATAAAAAAAAAAAACCTGGCATTTTAATTGGATCTGTCATTTAAAATTCACACATTACGTAAAGCAATAGAGCACACGCCAGCATTGTGGAATTATTTCGGGTGACAAAGTATATTTTTGCCATAAATATAACAACAATATTCCTAAGCTCCCCTACTAAAGCCGAGCCAGTCTGGACCACATGGTCTCTGGCTGCCGCAAGCATTGTGGGCGGTTCAGGGCATTGGAGACTGCACAGTCGTTATTTTCTGAATGGCCCGGTGCATGGCAAGAGTCAATGTTGGAGCACCCTGGGAACCCTGCTCTGTTTGGCTGTGGTGAGGTATAGAACATTGAAAAAACAGAGTGTACTTATGGACTTTAGCAGAGTTGCAGGAGTATACTTTTTTTTTTTTTTTTGCTTGTAAACCCTAAATAAATGTATTTTATGCTTCCTTTTAGTATATAAACAAGGTGTTTTGTTGTATCTGATCTAGAAGTGAGTAAACAATTAATTATAATAAAAATTAAAAAAAATGTATTTGATCCTGCCAGAAATCTTGTGAGCTGATAACTTTCTCTGCTCACTGCCTTTTCTGTGGTCTTAATTGTTGCATTGTTCCAAGTTCTGTCTGTGGACTACAGAACTCCCCCCTATGTTATGCAAAAGAGGTTAATGATACAGCACAGTGAGCATTGCCAACGAATGCAGCCGCCACCTTTTTAAGGATTGGTAGCCTGGAATATATGAAATGCTTTTTTGGGTTATTCTTTCAGAGAATACTTGGAGAGTGTTTAAAGGCAATGGGACAGAATAAGAGCCAAACGACTTACATTTTCAGTAGGTCAGCAGTTGCAACCCCCATCTTTTGCTTATGGCAGGCTTACTATGAAGGGGGCCAATCAGGGGAGAGTTATGTGGGTAGCCATTGCGAATCACCTTCTAAATAATTGTAGTTGCTTGGCTGTCATGATGATTCTGTCTCTGATCCACTAATTTACCTGTTCACAGTCCGTGATTTAGAGTATTTGTTGCACGGCTGGTCCCCTTTTTTCCTTTAAATGCAAAACTTATAATTATTGTTATCATAATATTATTATTATTTATTATTATATATTATTTATTCATAATATTCTATTTCTGGTAAACAAACACAATTGCATGCTCTGTCAGTGCCTGGCTCCTGACAATAAACCTTTATTTTGAACTCTGCAGTCGTGTGGATTCGGTGTCGGCTCCAAGGTTGCATGCAGGCCCTGCGCCCCTGGCACGTTCTCCAGTCGTTATGGATTGAGCCCCTGCAGTATGTACACACAGTGCGACCAGAAAAAGAGGGTACATCTGAGAGCCGGGACACCCAGTGCAGATGCTGTTTGTGGGGACTGTATACCAAGGTGTGTAACCAGAACGATTTCATGGACAGAGCTGGTCCTATGTGGTTTTGGACTTATGGCACAGATTTTTTTTTTTTTAATGTTATCACTGCGCCTCTAACTGCCAGGCACATGTGCGTAGCATGTTGAACGACCCTGTATTTGTGGCCATTTCACTTCATACCTTTTTTTAAAAAAAATCTTTATTTAAAAATTTCGGATGTTACATACAGTACGTATAGAAACATATAAACAATCTATGCAATATTCCACTTTGGTACAGTAGTAAACTCACTGAGTGATCAAGAGTAGTGCATTTCATTGCGCTCATAGGCGGAATGTGAGAAGATTGCCGCTGTATAGATGCCCTCGCACTAGTGTGGAGACTGAGGTCCCTGGCACTTGACTTGTTTATTGGTGTGCGGCAATTCAATACATCAGCGACCCTAAAGGTCAGTAGCGGCAAAGGTCACATATTGCTAGTTGTTCAATCTTTTAGAGATTATGTGGAGGGAGCATAGTAGCGGGGGGGGAGGGAATAGGGAATCCCGAGCCAGGAAGAGAGAATAGATGTAAGGGCCCAAGTGAGGGCTTAGGATGACTTCATACCTTTTTATAGAGGACTTCAGGCAAATATAAAATACACAATGAATTCAGCTCTGTAGTCCTTTTAATACATCTTCTTTTTTTATTTTTTTTGTGCAAGTACCTGAATATGACCTGTTATCAGCTTATTGCAATCCCTGTACAGTAGCGCTCAGACTACAGGGGGGGGTGCATTTAAAGTGAATCTGTAGTCCAGGTATAGGCAACCTCAGCCCTCAAGCTGTGCTGAAACAACAAGTCCCATCTTCCCTTTTGCTTCTGGGAGTTCTGCTTGTGGCTGTCAGTCTTGCCATGCACAATGGGACTTGTAGTTCCACAACAGGCGAAGTGCCATGGTTGCCTGCCTCTGCAATAGTCCTTTTATAGCCTAACTAGAGCTGAGGCACAATGGACCGTGTGTGTCATGTGATCATAGTGAAGACATCTGAAAAAAAGGTTTGTATAGGGGGAAAAAAGGTCTTAACATGCCCTCGCTCGCATGGCTTTTTCTTGGTCTGATCTGGAGACCTGAAGCATCGGGGGTGGCACATAGTGTTGGTGCATATTGCTAAAATATGTGGATGGTCTTTAAATCTCGTCCTTTCTGTCTCATTTCAGGCATTTCCCTCTCGTACCCAAAAGTCCCAACCTCTGTGTGGCGTGCTGGCTGGCTCCTCCAGACACTGTGGGATGTGAAGGTGAGCATTTCTATACCGGTAGTGTTCACGGGATGTGAGATCAGAATATATATCGCAGTCAAGGCTTCCATCTGGTCCTTCCATTACTCGATTCCTGGGGTAGTGCTGGTGCTAGGGTGGGATTGTAGCTGTGTGCGCTGCCCTGGAACTAGCATACCTTCCAGAATGGCAGCAAACCTAACGCCATGAGTATTTAAAGGGTCAGTCCACACAAACTGGACATTTTATTCTTTGATGGATGTTGGGGACACCACCTGGCAGGTTCTTCTTGCTTTCGGGGGGGCTCTTTTGGTGAGACCTCTTCTGTACCCATTATGAGGGGTTCCATCATTGTAGAATGTGCTCTGCTTTGGGGGTCCTTACATTTCTGATGAACAACTGAATCTTAAATAAGTGTTGGGTTTATTTACGAATAGGGATATTCATACGTTCTAATTACAATAAAGGGAATAGGGACAGGAATTAAGGTTAGGATACTTCAGATGGCCACACCATTCTCTCTCTCTCTCTGTCACCCATGCCATGGGGTTTTCTCTATGCTCAGAACACTCCTCTCCAGCAGGCCTCAGCGAATCATTCTTCTTGATTGTAGAGTCCAGAAAGACTTGTCTTGTCCAAGAGGTCACCAAGGCTACCATTGTTCCTGCTGGTGAGCTAGGTTACTGCAGATTATCACATAGGAAGAAGGTTCTGTCATATGCCCCTGTCCCCATCCCAGCATGTATGCTTCCTTGCTGACACAAGTGCGGGCAGTAAATACCAGTAGGGGGTCGAGCTTGCCCCAGGAGATGACAGTTCGGCAAATCTTCATTCATCAGCGTCCCAGCCCCAAGAAACCTTTGATGGTCTTCATTTGCGTATCAAACAGCCATATGCTGATTCAGTTCAGGATGTCAAGGAACACCTTTGCATCAAAACTGTATCATAGATGTCAATTTTATCGGTTCCAACAATCATCCTTAGTTTTTTTTAAATGTATTTTGCAATTTGGAGAATAACGGGAAGGGCTAGATGGAAATGCCCTAAACACCTAGATGGACAGGAACAGAGGTGGAACTTCTGGCCGGATGGTCTCACTGTTGGAGCATCCAAGATGTATAGGAAGCCAGGAGCTTCCTCTCTTTACCAGGCATCAGTTTTTAAGTGCAATATTCCTATTTGGTGGACAGTAGTAACATTTGACAGTTTTATTGGGGGAAAAATCACTTCAGTTTGGCTTGATAAGTACAGGCAATAATTAACCTGTTAATCTTGCCGGAAATCCATCGCTGCCCTGTGCTCTCTGCAGTTTTATCTCAAACAATGTTGTCGGGTATATTAGAACTATTAACTGCCCCACCACCACCATATTTAATGGAGATGAAAAGGGGGAGGGGGTTCTGTAGTCCCAACACAATTCCTGTCCTAGAGTGACAGTGCTGCTCCATAGATACAGTATAGTAAGGGTGTTGTCACTAGGGATAGAAAGTTTTACAGGCAGGATCACCATGTAAGGGAGAAGTCTGGGGGGAAAAAAAATAATGCAACCAGTTGATTTACGAAATAGTAAACAGCAATATATTTCATTTTTGTCCTTTTTGGGTTCAGATACTTTTTTTATTATCAGTCAGTGTTGAGACTGAAGGAGCTGCTTCTTACAGCTCTTCAGAGACCAGACGCTGCAGAATGATTAGAAACTCCTCCATTGTCTGTATGCGGAATACCATTTATAACAGAATTACTTTTTAATCAGGGCCACGATCCTAATTCGATTTCCTCAGATCCAGGATGGCAGATAATAAAGATTTATTTCCTCCAATTTCTTTTGCTTGCTGCAGGTGAGAGAACGCTGCGGCCTCGAGCTCCTAGGACACTGGAGGCTGCCAGTAACGCAGATAAGGCCTCTCAGAACAGCACGCATAAAGGCGTGCCGGAGGATTCCCGGACTCAGTATGCCGTGCTGGCGATTGTGCCCGTCTTCTGTATGATGGGCCTGACGGGCATTTTCCTGTGTAACCTGCTGAAGAAAAAAGGTTATCGCTGCACCTCCCACAAACCAGACGAGGAGGCCATTCCTGAGAAAGAAGGTGAGTTTGTACTGGCCTGTGGACTTCCTATTCTCTGACCCATAGACCTTCCTTTTAGTCTCTATTTCTGGATCTGCTAATCATTATTTTTCATTTGCATTTTTTTTTACTAGGGATGCACCGATATCGATACTAGTATCGATATCGGTGCCGATACGAGTATTTGGGCAAGTACTCATACTCGGCCAAATGCTCCGATGCCTAGCACGAGTACTTCCTGTATCAGCTGCCCGGATTCCTATTTAGCCAGGAAGTGGCTCCATGCTCCCTCGTCACTTGTGATGAGAGAGCATGGCGCCATCTTCCCGGGCCAATCAGGAAGCCGGGCAGCGTGTAATGACGCAGCGCCCGGCATTCTGATTGGCAGGGCGTCATTTCATGACGAGGGAGCATGGAGCCGGCCAATCAGAAAGCAGGGCGTCGCGTTATTACACGGCGCCAGGCTTCCTGATTGGCCAGATGGCTCCGGCTGGGTACCGGAGGAAGGCCGCGTTCTGGCTGGAGAGGCCCCTGGGGTGACAGGCTGGACATACCAAGGTAAGAGGGGACAGACTTTCTTGTTAATCAGGAAGCCGGGTGGCGAATCTTTACACGCTTCCCTGAATGGGACTTTCGGTAATTGGTGTCGGCGAGTACCGAAAAAAATATTATCGTTACTTGTACTCGGTAAAAAATAGGGATGCACCGATACCGGTATTTTGGTATCAACATATTTTTATACATGGGTTTATATTTTAATTGCCCTTGATTGTGACCAGTTCATTACAGATTACATGGCTGTGCATGTTTTCTTTCGTTATTATATTTAAAGTGGAACCATGGGCAAAATAAAAAATGACACATATCATGCAATTGGTTACCATCATCAACACAGCAGGTTTTGCAATCACTCCTGCAACATAGGGACACCTCCCTCTTTATCATGTAGCAGCATGCAGACATCTCCTGGACAGGTCCCTGAGGAACCTGCATTGCATTGTGGGATTGGTGGGATGTGTGTAACCTTACATTTTGTAGCATGTTTTATGCCCTAAAAACGCTCAAACAAATCTGCCCCCAAAAAGATCTCATTCATTTCTATGGCCCTGTTCACATCTGAGCGTATTGTCGCAATAAGCAAAACGCCTGTCGCTGGAAAAAGTACATGAGCTTTTTTTACCGCTTGTTTTGGCCCCATAGACTTTAATAGAAAATGCTAGAAAACGCCCGTTTGCTGTGTTTTCGCGCGTCTTTATGCATGTTTTATGCGTTTTTTTTCTCATTAACATCAATGAGCTACAATCTGCTCACAAAAACGTGCTTTTTGCTGTATGTGCATAAAAACGCTCAAACGTGCATCACAAACGCACGTTAAAACAGGCAAAAGCACTGTTGCCTAGGTGTGAACCAGGCCTTTTGTTGGGCCAGCGCTGAATGCTGTGCGCAGGGTTTAGTTGCTCTCGGGTCCTGCATAGACGCTGCTGCTGTTTAGAGATACTCTGTGTTGCTTCCACACAGAGGTTCACTTTAAGTTCATGCATTGTATTTGGGTACATGGCTGACGTCAGACTGGGAACGCAGTGCGAAACAAGGCGCAAGATGAGAATTCCTCGGGGGGGTCTGCAGACCTCAGAGGAGCAAGAGCTACGAGAACCTTCTAATGAATCGTTGTACGTTAATCACTTTTCAGTCCTGTTAAATGTCACCACTTGGTAAACATATTGGGACAAGACTTGTTATAGCTCACACTGCTGAGAGAATGGGATTGGTTTGTCACAATACGCTGCCAAGCAGTCCATATGAGACAGCCAAAGATTTATACATTTTAAATATAGAGTGGATCTGCTTGGAAGCAGACCTGTAGATATATACAGTATATATATATACCGTGTGTGTGTGTGTGTATATATATATATATATTAGGGCTGTGGAAATTAACGATTAATCCCTCGATTAATCGTAAATTTTTTTGATCGATCAAAATTATTTTGATCGATCAAAGTTCTTTGGCTCCGCCGGCTTCCGGGTCTTCCGTCGGAGATCTGGTGACGTCACGGACATCGACGTC